TTACTTCATGGCTTGGAAATTAAGCTTAGGTTTACAAACTCTTAGGCAACAGATTACCTGATTCTGGCTTCAGCAGTCAATTAACTGAAAGATATTTAGGTATACAGATCATAGCTTTAGAGACATCTATTTTATAGTTATCTCCTTGAAGATGTTTCAGTAATGCTGATATTTATTCCACTTTTATTTTGTAAAGATTTATGTGAGGGTGAAATAGGTGATTTCTATGCTGAGGTGCATGAAAATGGAATGCTTTAAAAATAATAGATTTATTTGAAATTGTAGCAAAAATGTAGCAATATTCTGCAAGAGAAAATGAAGATAAAATGAGGGATAGAAGCATTTGAATACTCTGACTTTTGAATTCAAATAGTAAGGCAACAGAAATTTTTATAGTCTCCTCCAATCCAGAAAACGCAGCCAAAAGTAGAGATTGATTTTTTTAAAAAAAAAATCTGTGGAAAAATAACAGAATATGGGATAAAACAGCCTGGGAGAAGATATTTAGTAGAGGTAAAGTCACTGAGACCAACTGAGAATGTGATGGCTTTTTTCAGTAGAAGACACAATGGCTCCTTCACTGCACAGGGGAATGAGAGCTCAGGCCAAATCCAAGGCTAAAAAGACTGGGGATTTAGGCCATTCACCTGGGACAGAGGAAAATGTTTGAATCTAGATCTCCTAGATCTCAGCAATCACTATTATCTAGATTCTGGAGTCACCTTCCTCCTCCAATGAATGTTTAACTATTTCAAGTCAAACAATTTAAGAGAAAAATAGGGAAAATTAATCTCCAAATAACCTGTAACCTGAGAAATTATATTTTGAGTTACTAGTTTTAAGCAAAGCAGAAAGCTGAGTCTGAAGAAGTTTGAAATCCTAAAAATGTATATTGGAGAAGGAAACAGTTTCTCATACATGCCTTTATAACAGGGCTTCACAATTCATGCTATCTTTCTTCAGCTTCCCTCAGAGGTTTCTCATTGTACAGTATGAGTCTGTCATGTGAGGCTTGTCTCTAGTTCTATAACTTCCGAGAGAGATTAAATTAAGGAAAGGTTGAGCCCAGCATCCTTAAAAGACAGCTCACCATATGACAAACTTCAAATATTATTTTCTCATACAATGTAAATAGCACTATGCTTCTGGTAATCTACAGTCCAGATTAATTTTGACAATAGATACTTCCTAAATAGTTTATTTGTTGCTAATTTTCACTTAAATATTTTAGTCGCTGTATTTGTTTAAAAAATTGCTATGACTTTTTATCTGAAGCCTTGGCTGGTTGCTGCTGTTTAGATTTGGTTCTGCTCCTCCTTTCCTCTTCTCTCTTTTCTCATGAAGAAGTGTCAATGGAGTAAGTAATGTGGTAGTTAATTGCTTGAACACTTGAACCTCCAAATAATGTCGAGAATGAAATGTGTCCATGGTAACCAGGATGCACTTGTGATACTTTTCATTCTTCATCTTTTTAATCTATGCAAAAAGTATAGGTATTACAAAATCCATGCAATATTTTTCTTTGAAATAACCACATGCTAACAAATTACCAAGGTAACTGTAGTTTATCCTGGGTATATGTACATAAGGAAGTTTTTAAATGCAATAGTGCTATTGATGGTTTGTTTCACTGTAACTCAAAGAATAATGTTTAGAAAATACACAGTGGCGCTTAATACAATTACTTGACTATTTTACTTTTCCTGTGCCTCTGCGCGTTGGCCTGATCTTCCCATTCTGGCAGATAGTTCTGTTGCAGTGTGCTTCCTAGTATAACAGTTAAGAAAAGGAGACATAATTGAAATATGTATTTCTGTAATTTTTTTAAGTTTTTGAAGTTAGTATTAAAATGCTTTGGAATTTATAATTGTACAACAATACTACAAGAAAGTAAATTTTTATAGCCATGTTAAAAGAGCTACTGTAATTGCTTTAAAAATAGGACAGAGATATTTCATTCATAAAGTATTAGTGTTCCATTTTAGGGTTGGTTGGATTGCATAAAGATAAAATCTTATTCAAGAGTCTATACACGTATGCACACACTAGTGTTTGGATTAAATATGTTCTTGTACACCTATGTGTATACATAAACTTTTATTATAGATAAATTCACTCATACACACAAAATACTGAACAAAAAATGTATAGAGTACTTACTGTGAAAAGTTCATCTTGCTTACACCGGTGCAAAATTTGGGGAAGCGTGTGCTGTCTGTATACACTTAATTTTATTGTACTGTATATATCAGACTGAAAAGTATTTATTAATGTATTTTATAACAGATCACCTCATATTGTAATCTGTTGTGCAACATGGTTCTGCTTTTTTTTAAGAATTAGACGTCTAAATTTGTGTGTAGTTAAATCTATAAGGTTATACAGAAAATTAATCTGAGGAATGTTGTTAGGTATTAAAGTTCAAAAGTTGAAAAGCAACAGTCATCGTTCATCATTTTGGTAAGTGGTTTTGGGAGCAGGTGGCTGTTTTCTTTTTCAGTTACACTTGGCATTTCCATGCCAAGAAAGGGTGTTTTTGTTGGGTGGTTTTGGGGTTTGTTGGGGGTTTGGGGTTTTTTTTGTGGGTGTTTGTTTTTTTTTTTTGGTTTTGTTTTGTTTTAAACAAAGTCACTTCCAACAGTAACATGAAAAGGCTGACAGAAAGCCTAATAACCAGATTTCTTTTCTCCTTTAACAATTTTTTTTTCCCTATGATATACTGTATTCTTGCATACCATTTTGAAGGGTATGCAAGCTGCGGAACACGTAGAAAGATGTCTTTTCTCTCTCCGTTTGCATATCAGTTTTGTTCTGACTTTATTCTCACCTCATGTTTTCCGCAAATAAGAATGGAAGTAGCCTTACATGCTGATTCTCCCTACATTGCTAGAGATAAAAAGAGCTTTTGGAAGTACAGTACAGCATTCGCTGTCCTATTATCCCCATGGTGAGCTACAAACATACTAGTTCTAAAACCTTCCCAGATAGTAAGATCATCACTGAAGCAGAATGACAAGTGGTTTATAACCTCTTTTGCATTGAATCCTCATATTACCACTAGTATATTAAGTGGTGGTATTTTAGCAACGTGGTGGTCGATACTGTGCATGTACGTTACAGAAATGTTAACTTTGCTATTATAAAATGTTTCATTGGTGTAATTTATATTTCATATATTAAATTGCAGAATGCAGATTGGATGAATGGGGTTTTTTCCCTTCAAAGAGGCAACTGTTTCACTGCAAAGGAATAACGGTTGTGTGTGTCATTGTAAAATAGGAATGAACTTATGCAACTGAGTAGGATGTTTTTTCTTTTATTTACATAACAAGGATTATTTTACAGCATACTGCATGTATGCCTGAGAGTTAATTGAAGCTAGTTTGTATGTATGCTATCAGAAATATAACTTAGTAATTCCAATTACCCCCTGTAATGATATATTAGCCACAGTAAACATCAAAATTATACATTTTAGGTGGCTGTATTTGACATTCAAATGTAGAAGTTAAGCCTTTATTCAGACTTACTTATTGTTTCTGTATATGAGATATCAACAAGATGCAAGCAAGACTTGAAAAATACAGAAATGATTGGTGTGGGCCTGCCTTAGCAGATTGTCTGGAATCTGAGCTTTAATTCAAAAATTAATGATGAAAGTGAATGCAACTCATTGGGAGTTACAAATACTTAATTATTCTGAACTTTAAAATCTATGTTTTGACACTGTGAAATACCAGAGAGATCTAAAGTTAAATTTCATGTTGAGAGATGTAAACCATTGTTGTCAGATCTAAGATTGGTAATAGTAAATTTAACTGTGTGTTGTATATGTGAGTAGTCTTCTGTGGCTTGTTGACAGTTAACTCAAGGCTTGCTTTTAATTTTCCTTTTCTATATGCCAATAGAAAAAATAAGACTCTATGGAGTGTATTTTTTATATACAGGTGTATTTGTTTATAAACATACACCTCGCTAATACTCTCATTTGTCAGTTTTATTGCTCGGTGTGTCAGGAATCCACCCATACATATAACAATGTAAAATCCTTGCTTTTCTCAATGAAATGGAAGGAAATAAAACAGATTAATATTAGTAAAATTACAAGATTATTTTTTTAACCTTGCCTACAACAGCAACTGAATCCTACTTTTGGCTTAGAGTGTGATCTTTGCTGACAGGTTGTGTGAAGGAGGAGACGTGATTATGACTTTCCTCTCCACCTGTAGACCCAGCTGTGACAGCAACAAAACAAAAGTCAATATTAAAAGCTGACACACTGTTCAAGCACATATGTAATATTTTAAGAGAACTCTGGGAAAATTACTGATAGGGCCACTTGTTCTCTGTTATTTCATAGCTACATAATTTACTATTCATATTAATCCTTTGTCTCAATTGCATGCTTTGTAATGCAGGCTTTCTCTTATTTTTCTGACTCTGAAAATGTGAGTTGAATGTGTACTTCTGGAGAGCTGTTTTCAGACAGGCTAAGTGCTGAGCTGTGAACTGTCCTATTAGTTTTGATTTTAACAAAATGTTAAAATGACAGTTTAACTTCTAATACTGCCACTTTTGAATGCCTGAGCAGTTCAATGGGTATTTCTACTTAACCACATAATTTAATGCCTGAGGAATTGTGTTTCTGCAACTAAGTTAAAAACAAAAAGAAAATGTTTATAGTTTTGCAAGTTGAGGTGGCATTAAACAAGTTTTAATTTCTATGAACAATTTGCACACCGAGGTTGGGAAACATTTTCTTTGTATTTAAAAATATTTCACACTTGTCTAGGTGCATTATGGGATGTTTATTGTACTTTGAAGCATGTTGTAGGACCACTGGTAATCTAACCATGGTCTGATCTCTTATGATAACTTTGTTTTGGGAATGTAGTAATATTTACACAACTGGAGTCCTGAATCTTAGCAATGTATTTATCTCATGGTTCTTGATATTAATCTCTTCTTCCTTTTTTCTTTTTCTTCTTCCACAATTGTAGGTAATTTTCAGGTGGTGGAAAATCTCACTTAGGAATGAATTTCGTGAATCAAGACCTGGAGAAATTAAAGAATCCCGGGAGGATTTTTTGGATGATTCATCTCTTCACAGTAAGATGACAATAATAATTACAAATTTGCTGTGGCATATAATGGAATAATCTAGCAATATTGATCTGTAATAACTTCCATGAAAGATGTGATTGCTTTGGCTAACAGGCTTTTCTGTATGAATTTATTAATGTAAATTAATGTAAGAATACTGGAAAAACAAAAAGACATGACAGTAAATGTAAATACAGGATAAATCTCAGGAACATCGATAGTTTCATTATAAGACAATGACAGAGGTATTGGCAACAAAATAGGCCAGAAAGCAATATTTTTATTGCTAATAACTCAGTCCCTATAATGCTCTGTGCCAGCACATTTATTTTTATGGCCATGTCATGAGCCACCTGAGAAGATCTGAAATAATTATACTTTTTCCCAAAGTTCCATGGGACTATGTGTCCCAAGTAGTAATTGCTCTGCATCTTCTTACAATCTTGGTTTTCAGTAATGGATTAGTTTTAAGAGATGTCATGTCACAAGATACAGTTGGTCATGGCTCACAGAGAAAACAGTCTTCTCAAAATACTAAGGCAAAGACACATTAATTCAGGAACTGCAGTGAATAGCTGAGTGACCTGGTCTGAAAACTGAGAACTTCATAACTGCATCTGCAGGGACTGGATTGAGATCTGAGGCTTTTGTAGCCCCAGAGACTAGGTAGTACTCAAACACCTTGCACTGGTGAGATTTTTTTTTTCTTTTTTTAAATAAGCTGCTCTTGTATTCTGATTATGTACAGACATAAAAAAAATTTAGTTACAGATGTGACTTCATATTTATCCTATTTTTATGCTGAACTTGTCATTTCCAAATGAACTCCTGTTTTCCTCATCAACAGCTTTGGTAGACATGATCTTATTTACACCTAGGCAGAGAAAGTATGCCTTCCCAAGAAGTATATGAATCTCAGGTGGTAGGGGAGAGGGTAAAACTTTTCTCAAGAAAATTTGCCCCAATACTCTGTTTTCAAAAGTAAACTTGAGTGTATTTTCATTTAGGGTCTGAAATAAGACCAACATGTGTTTCCTATGCTTTGCTTATTAAAATCTAATGCTTCCTACAGCACAAGCAAGAGATTTTTAGCCCTAGTGAATTAGTGTGGTCTGCATTTCTATGTTTAGGTTTGTGTTTCTGATCCCCATTGTAACTGACTAATTTCAAGTAAATTTGATTGAAATAATAACACTTCTTTAGGCAGTTGGACAGGGAGACTGCAAGTGACTGCTGTTAGTACTCCACTGATTGAAAGACTGCACATTCTGAGCTTAAGTGACTGGGTATACACACAAACCATGGAGAAAGTTTCAATTGGGACTCACAGTTCGTAACAAAACAAGTCTTTAATTGCAGTTATTGCTACTTGTTTTGACTAGAAGGGGAATGAATTTATCATGAAACAATAGTAAATGGACTGCCTGTAGAATTTGGCTAGTGCTCAGGGAGTCTTTAAATATGCTATGCTTTTTTGCAGTAGGTGTTTATAATCATCTGGTTAGTGGAGGCAAAGAGTTGCACCACATTTTAATTTGACAAAATTGATTATCAATTTTTATAAACTTGAGCTTTCAAAGAAGTGATCTTCTATAATTTTTTTCCCAGAATTACATAGAATTTATAGCTGAATTTTGGCAATAGGTTTTAGTGCGTTTATTTTAAAATTTTAATTTTAATTTATTTTTTATTTACCTCATAAAAGTAGATTTGATATGTGAATATATATTAGTGAGGATTTTAGCTTTTTTTTTTTCTCATTGCTTATACTGTAAGATTTTCCTGTGGCATTTGATATTAATATAATGTCACAATAAAACATCTGTTTTACATTACCTGGGTACAATGATTAAAATAGTTAAATTATTGTTAACATGCAGTTTTCTACTGTTATCCTGTGTGTTCTCAGTAGGTTACAAATAAGATCTGCCTGCTTTTTCTTAAAAAGTGTTATTGGTGGTTCAGAGGTTTCCTATCCTACGGGAAGTATTGAAAGCCGCAGTTGCCATTCTTTCCTAACGTTCAGTCATTTCTTCCTCCTTTTAAAATTATCTTTAAAGTCATACATGGGGTTTTCCCCTCTGGTTTTGAGTCAATTTTTAGTATAAAAATAAAGTGTTTTGCTTTCAGAAAAATGCTAACATGAGTAGAAGTATTACGAATATAAATTACTATGTGTGGAACAGCAAGAGCTATGGACAGAAATAATATCGATATAACAATACAACTTCTCACAAACAATCAGATGGTTTTACACTTCCTCCTCACCTCCTCTTAAGAGGAGCTTTGCTGCTGTTCTCTGAAGTATTCACACGTTTGTTTTGTTTTGTTTTTTCCATAATTCTCCACAAGTATATATACTGGAATAATATTCTAGTTATCTTTACTGAATTTTTGTCAAGTGAGGGTTCACATAAAAGACTCCTCACCAGACCCATGGTTTGCTGCTAAATATTTGGTACACCTCTACCAGCAAAATATTTATCTGTTGTTAAGTATTAGTAATTCCTGTTATTATCTCCTAGTTCTCATTCCTAAGATTTTATTTGTTTTCATATAGTTGGAGATTTTTAGAAAAAATTTGTTTAAAAAAAAAGAAGAAAAAAAAAAAAGGGAGGTGTGTGCTTAGATTATTTCTACTGGGCATAAGAAGAATAGTCTCCCTGCAGATGAAACATTTTATCAATATCCCATAGAGGCATTTGAAGCATCCAACAGAAAACTGAAGAAGTAAACATGTTATAATAAGCATTAATATTTTTAATAAATTTATATTAACTACCATACAACTGTAAACATCCATGTTTGTTTTGAAATGTTTTCTTTTCTTTTTTGGACAGTGAAGTAAGGTATCATTAGTTTCTTTCCATAATCTCGATGGAGCCAAGAGGGAAGAGCAAGATTTTGTATATACCTAGATTTTCATTATGGTTTTGCAAAGATGGAAAATGAATTGATGATAGTGTAGGGCAAGAGAAGAGAGGTGTATTTACATTTTTTTGGATGCATGAACAAATAGTACAAGTCATCAAGTAGAGTATCCAGCACTCACAGGATGAAAATTTCACAGAAAACCTGAAGTTCAGTATCATGGTTTGTTCATCATTAGCTGCAGATACATTTATAAAGCAAGATAAATACGGCTAAATATATTTTAAAACAGCCAATCCAGGTCACATTATTATTTCTATAAATAAATAATTTTCAAGAAAAACTCAAGGAGCAGCAAATGTTCATGAAGCAGCCTGCTTAATCATTCAACGTGAAATAGATGGACACTACAAACATTCTCATCGTCATTCCTAGTATGCGAAGATTTGGATCATTCTTGCATATCAGCTTGAATTAGATCAGCTAGACAGTTTTTAGTTGACACTGTAGATCATTTTTCTACTTGCACAAGGAATTTGAGGAAAATTACCAACTGTATAGAACTGAGATGCTTGGAAATCAAAAAAGCAAATGAGAACCAGCAGCAAACTGGTTTTGCTTGCAGTATAATATAGCAACAGAAAAGAAAGCTGGAACAGTATTGGGCCATCTACCCAAAGACAGGAAGGAAGATAAGGTGATACCTTCCTTCTACGTAATTACCTTAGGAATATTTGGAACAAAAAGAAATTAAAGTCTTAACATCTTAGCAGTGAAATCTTGTCATTTGGAAAGCTCTTTCAAATGTATTCACATAAGCTTGAGTTTTGTAACTAATCTTACAAAATATTTTGGAAGGAAAACTGCTGCATCAAAATTGGATGTACTTACTGCCTGTAGTCAGTATAGTTTCAACTTCCATGATTCTGTTTGTCTCTCCTTTTATGGCTTTAACATACATGAGAAGATAGACTCTAGTTGGTTTAAAAAACAAAAAATCCCCAAAACAACAACAAAAAACCCCACTTTGGATGCATTAGAATAATTTCATAATACAAACAGTTGTAATTCTGCTTACAATTTAAATTTTGATCCCTGTGTCCCTGTATGAAAAGAAAAGGGGGAAAAAAGAAAAGTCCTTTACATATGTGGATGACTGCATTCATGTCATCAGATCTTAGGAAACAACCTGCAGCTCCAAAATTTACCACTGATCATTCATTAGAAGTGTTGCAAATTGAGTTCAGGATCCTATTTTATAAAGAGCTAGTATTTTTATTAAAGCAATTTGACAAAATAGAAGAAGAATGTTAAAAAAGAAGAAACAATGTTAAATTCAAAAGGCCAAGTTCCAAGTTGGACACTGAAGCAGAAATAATCATCTGTATGATGCAGGATGGGGAGTAGCTCACTAAGTAGCAGATCTATAGAAAAAGAATTCAGTGTTGTGCTGGATCACAAAGGGAATGAGTCAAAAAATATTATGTCCCTGTAGAAGATAACTGTCTTCAGTTTCATTTTAGAGGTTTAACTGTACCTACATAAGATAAGAAGCAGAACTACAGGGACTCTTAATGTCAGAGACATCATTATTTTCCCCAAAGCATACAACTGAAGTACCATTTTTATTTGTTTTACTAACCTCCTCCTAAATAAATAGCACAGTCTTTATGTAAATAAGTATATATGTACGTGGGAAAGTGGACAAAATGGATCTGGGCAAGTTTCAGTTCTGCTTTGCTGCTGTTTTAATGTTCCTCAGCTGAGATGAGTTTGCTGTATACTAGACAATGTACAGGTTTTTAACTAAAACTTTGTTTTACTGCGCAGACTTCCTGGATGTCACTAGCACCCCTTAAGATGAATTGAAATGCTCTAAATTACTAATGTTCAGTATAAGATATTATACATAATTTTCTCAGGAAAACATCAAAAATATTGAGCTGACTTTTCTGATTTTTTTTTTTTTAAGATGTATCTGAATAATGTGGGATCATTGGGATCATTGGGAAGAAATGTCAGGCTTTTACAAATCTGTTGTCTCTTGGGTTTTTTGGGGGTCTTTTGTTTGCTTTGTTGTTTTTTTTAATCACAGTTCAGATTGCTATAGTATTTGGTGCCAAAGTTCTGGAACATGTCCTCAGTCTGTGCCGACGTAACTGTGACTTCCTGGAACGGCTTCCTGTCCCATTGCTCCTGTACATCATTTCCTTTCTGGAGCTTGAAGGTATTACCAGGCTTTCTCAAGTTTCACACGGATTTGAAATGGTAAAAAAAAAAAAGAAAAACATTATAAAATATTTTAAAATTGTTAGCTTTGCTGTGCAGCATGTTGGGTTTGATTCACGTCGTGTTTAATATAATCATCAATCTGTCTGCTTTACTTAAAGTTTGAGACAATAAATTAATCGTCTGTATACAAAAAAAATGAATGGGTGCAATACTGTGCTTATCCTGCAAACTTCTGTTGCATATAATAAACACAATGATCCAGCTAATTCCATTGTAACCCATGATTGGGTATTACGCAGTACTTCCAGGATTAACTAGTTGAGATGTAAAACCTGTGCTTTGCATTGTGATTTGTATTATTGTAATGTCTAAAAACTTCAGCCATGGGCCAGGATCCCCTTATGCAAGACTCATTAACAAACAACGTCATTGCCATTCCTAGAGAGCTTACATTTTAAGTCTTAGACAAAAGAAAAGAGCACAAGGAAAGAGGGGGTTTTTTAAAGATTTTTTGTAGACCTCGCAGCAAGGAACTGTAAGAAACACTGGAAGAGAAAGAGATGACATTATGCTTGCTTGCTAGAAAGCTCTTTCCAACTATCAGGTTGGGAAAAGTATGGGAAATAGCATGAACATGTTGAATTGAAACTTTAAAGAGCAAATAACAGAAGTTGCCGCTATTGGCTGATTGAAGCTAAGGGTAGCCTCTTGGTACTGAATGAGGGTAACAAATAGGGAATGATAGCCTGGAAGTCCCACGAGAATGAGGGCCAACCTGTTGGTGCAAACGCAGAAAAGTCATAGGATAACTTAGGCTGTGTTGGAAAGGCCTTTGAGACGTCATCTATTCCAACTTCCTGGTCTGTGCAGGTTCAGGTAATTGGAGCAGTGGAAAGATAATATGTTCAGAGCTGTGATCTAGGAAGCTTATTTTTGTGGGTCTGAATACCGCAACATTTCATTTTCTATGCCAGTCAGAGCCTGAGAAAAGTCTGCTGCAGTAACTTAGGTAGAGGGAGAAAAGGGGGTTAGCTTATGAAAAATAGGAAGATAAGCATATTAAAGAGAAAAATAACTTGATTCTCATCCCCAGGGGTGCTGTAGGAGTCTAGAATGAAGCCTGTCAAGTTATGCGTTGTACAGTTACTGAAAATGTAACTAATGGTGAGACCTTAGGAGGAAGATGAAAACAGGTTTAGTCATCTTGAGTCTGATGTGACAGCTAGATACTCTCTGAAAGACTTCAGAGAGACAGATTAACCTTTTAGGTTGGAGAACAGGACATGTCTGTGGTGCGGAGTAAATCTCCAAATGTATCAGGATAAGATTACTCACAGGGTTTGTATTATTTTGAGGCTATGTGGCCCAAGATTTCAAGAAAAGTTCCATGGAAGACTGCTGACAGTTCAAGAGGACATGACTGTACTGCTGTTCCCATGGTGTGGCCACAAAGACATTATAGATGCTTGAGCAAGAGTGAGTTCTAGTGAGCACAAAAATAGGAGACGGTGTAAAGAAAGCACAGGAGAAAAGGGCAAGATAGTAAAATAGAGCATGTCATGACTTTAGAGATGAAGAGCGGATAGAAGTAGATAAGCTTGCTGAGTTCTGGGCTTTTATTTTATCAACTGAAGATAAAACAGTTGATATTGTGACTGGAAAACATCCGGTAGAGGACAAAATAATAAAAACAACTAAAGGAGAGGAAGAGAATGCATAGAAGGGAGGTCAGGAAATGATTTATTAGTATATTTGGAATCCATCTGTCATTTGCAGAGTGTGAGTGGAGTGGGATGAGGTACTGTGGAGGGCAGTAAACTTTTCACTAATTTAACACAAAACCTTGGATGTTCTGGAAATTAAGGAAACTCTAGAAGGAATTAAGTTGTATAATAATAAAGATAGGATTCTGGCATGATGAAATAACCTGTTACAACTAGTAATGCCATGCTCTCTTTCTGTCATTTCAGCAGTATTTTTAAGGATTGAAAAATTTTCCCCAATACTATGAATTTTCATTTCCAGAGTAATTTATGCATAGGCTGGAATGCTACTCTCTGTGGAATTATAAAATAGCATATTCAGATTTTCAAATAGGGAAAAATAGAACAATCTCTGCGCTCAGGACTGAAAAGCAGAGCGTGAAAGGCTCTGTCTGCCCTGTGCAATGCATCCTCGTAGGCTGAACTAAAAGGGTATTTTCATTTGTTACCCAAAGCATGGCATTTCTCTGACTGTGTCGTTCTAAGCATAAATCCTGTTCTCCAGAGTATTCAGATACTTTCAACATGCATTTCAAAGTATTGTAAATTTTCACTCGGTACTATTTTTAAGTATTGTGAGGGAAGTCCTAACGTGGACACCACCGTTCGAGCACTGTCGAGTTTTCCAAATACTTTTTCAGCAGACTGCTATATTGTGATGCCTCCCAGCACAAGTTCAGGATAGGATTCGTTTAGTTTATTTTGTACAAGGTCTTTAGCTAGCCAAAAGAGGCACAATTAAACTGCCGAAAGAAAACTACCGCTCTCTGCGGGCTGGAGGGAGGCGCTCCCGCCAGAGGGAGCCAGGTTCCCAGCGCAAGAGGCGGTGGGGCTGCGGGGCGCGGGGCGGGCCGGGGCTTTTTTTTTTACGGAACGCGGCGCCGGCTTGTTATTGCGCAATTCGGAAGCCGGTGGCACGGGAAGAAAACCATAATAATGACAGGGATTATCTTTTTGTTCTTTCTGTATTTTTTTTTTAATAGAACAATGTGTTCGGAAATATAAAAGTAGGATACTAAAAACCTGTCTCCACTATTTTTAACTTAATGGTGTCTGTTTTTCATAGGAGCGGCAGAATGGTGAGAGACAGAGAGCAAGCAGAAATTAAAGAAAACTTTAAAAATACATGTATTTTCATGTCAGGACTTCTACAGCAATTTTGCCCCAATAATCCCTGCTTTTCATGTGCAAAAATAAGCTAGCATGTTGTGTGTGCCTGCAGTATGATCACTGTCACAATTCAAGAACAACAAAAATAGGACCATGCATACTCTGATGCAGCTTTGCTGTAGTCAGTAATTTGAATAGTTTAAGGTATCCAGCGACACCAGCTGTATGTAACAGAAGTTATACCAGGCCTTTTGCTTTTCTATTTCTGTTACTACTTGTGACGGACATACCAGCCACTTGCATCACAGTAATCTAGTACAACTCCACTTAGGTCCCTGCAATTGCACATTTAGAAAAGTGGAACATTTGGCGGAAGAATCAGTGTTACTATGCTCTTGTATAACTTACAATGGGTAGATAACATACAAAGACAGAGAGTATCTTCCTAATTCATCTTTTGTGATGGTTCCGTCATCTATCAAATTACATCATTGTTTTCTTCCCATTTATAATATTTCCACCTGATTCTGTTTACAGAGTCATTCTGAAAGAGGGAAGCATCTCCTGAGAAACAGGCTTAATCCTTACAGTGCTTTTGAAAGCTTCCTAAAATTGCATTTCTGCTATAAGTCCAAAAGCAATTTGCTGCTTTTACCTACCTTGAAAACAGATTTGTATTTGTGATGTGATTTCTACATCCTGACAAGTTCTTTGGCATAATCTTACACAGCTTCACTGATTTCAGTGGGGCTGTATGAATTACATACCAGGCAAGCATGTGGCATTACAGCTGCTTTTAGTGTGGCAGAAAGGCCTTTGATACCATACCAAAAGAAGCTTCTCAAATTTTTCACAGAACATGCAGTATCTTCTGTTGGCAACAATGGGCAAAACTTCCACTGATGTCACTGTGAGTTTTAAATAATGCTGCGTCCTTCAAGATAGGTGGGCAGCTTGCACTGCAAGTGACCTTCATACAAAGTGTCTGCGTTGTCTAAACACATTTTGTGGAGTAAAATAATCAGCAATGAGTAAGACAAATTATGATTTTAAGCCTCTACTTTCTCTTACAACTAGATATGTAACAGTAACGCGCTATGGGAAAATATTGTGGAGAACTTGTGTGACACAATTACACCTGAAATCAAAGAACTTGCACAGGAAATGGGATGGAAAAAATTCTTCTTTACAAACAGACTTCAGTTACAGCTGCAGCTCCGAAGGAGGAGGCAGAAACAAGATGCTCAGAACAAAAAACTAACTGAATAAAGATGCGTTTTTCATTGAAGCAATTGTTATAAGGTGTGGATTTGCTGTTTATCAGGTCAGACATACTGACTTTTCTTCTTTACTAGGGAAAGCAGATTATTTTACGGATCAAAATGACTTACAAGGAGCAACATGTAAATAATACAATGTTTAATATGTTGGGCATCCTGAAAGTGTATTATAGTCAGCATTGTAACTGTTACTAGCAATAGAAGAGGTTGTGGCTTCTTTGTACTTCTTCATTCTGACTTCTGTATTTTGTATATATGCTATACATGCTCCCTGTCTTATATCAGATGCTATGGCATTGTCTTTATTACCATTACAGAAAACCATCTATCATTTCTTAGTACAAAGATTGCTGATGAATGCTGAGGTTTTTACTGTCCACCATGGTAAATTTTCTATGTTTATAGGCAAATGACATGTAACTGGTCCCTGAGTTTGATGTGTGTTAAAATGTTTTTAAATTAATTATCTAAACTTCAAGCAAATAATAATTTTGTCACCAAGAAGAAACTTCTTTGGTGTCTGAGGGTGTGGATGAAATGATCATCCTTGTCTTGGACAATCCATCCAAATCATGTTTGAGGCACTCTGCCAGAATGGTATATGGGCAAAATTTTTCCTTGATGTTACTGATGCAGGAACTTTTGAAACTAACTGACTTCCATTGTTCGAGCTGCATATTTGATAAGAGACACTTGCTATCTTACAAGACTGTAACAATGGTTACTTAAGAGTGTTGCAAGATGAAGGCAGTTCTTACTAACATGACTGACTTGCTCCAACAATCAACTTCAGTAATTAAAAAGCCAAATACTGTGAAAGTACTAGTTGATTAATACATCATTTGCCATTGACTAGACTTAAGACCCGAGTATTAAAAACAGTGATTGCAGTATTTGGATATAGTGTAACATTTGAATAGTGTATTAGGTTTATGATTTTTTAACATGTCAAGTATTAAACTTGAATTTTGTGAATTGATTAAAAACTATGAATACAGGGTTCTTCTATCATTCTGTTTCTTTATAAAGCAGTATTTTAGTTCTTAAAAGATATTTGCTAATTCAGATTAAGAATATTTTGTTCTACAACTATATACGAATATTTTGGAAGCATTTGGTGACTGTCGATCTTTAGATAGAAGAAACATGTAAGTATATTCTTTCTTCTTTGTGACTGTCTCCTTTTAGGACAATGACAAATACAAATTTCATGATGTGTGTAAAATACTGTATTCATAAAATTTCCATTCTGTATAATAAAACGCTGTAAAATGTCATTTTGCTTGAGAGAGATGATTTTAAGAACTACAGTATGTGAGCAGAGCTACTAAACAACAGACCCTCTTTTCACACTTTGTCAATTTACCACCGATGAATTTTTTTCTAAGCTTGTGCTCTCATGACAGATTTAGGCAGTTTCAGGTTAGGAAACTAGAACCCATACTAGCCCATATGGACTGAGTGAACATTAATTTAAAATCATAATTTAACTTGATTTTGTCAGCCCACGTTCCCTTCTCCTTGATCAACCATGTACCTGTCCTTTCTGTTATGAGAAATAAGAACAATAATTTTGCAGGTGAATTTTCATTTTTCAGCTTAAAAAACCAAACTTAATTAGTAAATGAACAGAAAGTGAAATTTTGGGTAATGTAAGTTTATTCCCATCATATGGCCCAGTAAGGACTTCTATAGAATGATATATTGTAGATATGATAAGTGAACAACATATTATTCATTACAGTAATATGCAAATAAAGTTGATTTTGACAAAGGACAAAGTGAAGATCTAAGTATAAAGGGTACGTATCTTTCAAAAAGAAAAAAAAGGAAATTGAGGGAAATCAGCACTTCAGTACATATATTTCACCAGTAAAAGATGGCTCTGTTTAAATAAGCTAGCAGCAGCATTCACATGAAGAAGACAATAAACCTGTAACGAAAGAACTGATGTGAAAATGTAGTTTACAGGAACATTTTCTCCAACAAAAAAGCTGATTTTAAGAAATTACTGACTGCGTGTTCACACCATGTGTTACAGTTCACTGCCATCTCAGTTGTTTTAATATGGATTTTAAAGGCCATACATAACTATCCTATATGAATGAACTGATCTAAATCTTAAAGTAGTTTGGTGTTTTCTTAAGGTTTTCTTTTTTAACTTGGCTCATTTCAGTGATCTATTTTAAAGTATGTCCCTGCCAACAGTTGCAGAAGTGCAAAACTAAGAAGCTGGTGAATTGCAGTATAAAATAATACAAGCTGTGGTTCAGAACTTTTTTTTAACCAGCCTTGCAGCTATAAAAAAGATCTGTATAATGATATTGTTGCATACTGAACTGTTTCCCAATATTTGTTCAATATAATTGAATAGTATCAATTGTTTTTAAAGAATTGCAACAGCAAGTATCAGTATTAAACTAATAACCTGATTCGTCATGAAAAAACTTCCATAAAGCTAGCAGGAAAAAAACCTACCATGACTTCTATTTGATAGGAAAATTAACTTCATACTCACCTTTCAAAGCTGAAAAAAGTATGTCTTGAACCACCATACAAAACATTCTGCATTGATTACCAGGCGCTTAATGTCGTTTAAGAAAATTTGAGTATTTTAAATGGTCTTTAGCTCTCCCATGCTCTGCATTATCTAATTCTCTAGTAAATGAACATCTCAAACATGACCAGTCTTAGATAGTTCATGGTGTACATTATAAGCAGCAACATGACTGCTCATAATGTAACAGGTTTTGTTATTAAATTAATTGTAACAAAATTTAGTGTGCTATAGTCCAGTTCTTTCTAAAACTGTATTTGGCCAATTTTGCCTGACTGGCTTTCTTTAGTACTGTTTACTTGACAAACAAGTCCCATGGAAGGGGTCAATGGCAACGTTACGAAGTTCTACAATACCTCTAATTAGGTAAAGCAGCCAGAAACTTCAAACTGTTTCTGGAAACATTTTCCAGTTTGTGAATAGCAATAATATTTTCCATATGTTGCCTGGTTTTGGTTTTATGTTTGTTTTACTTCAGGTGCATTAAGTGTCACAGCATTTATGATGCAGCCTATGTATTGAGAATGGGTACTTCATGCAGTTGACACTTTAAAAAAATAAAATAAAAAATCCTTGAAGTATAGAGTCGTTTCAGAAAAATATAAGAACTTTTCTTCAGTTTTGCATCATGGAAATAGTAATTTTAATACACTGAGTTACCTCAATTATTGTTCTAGCATTTCAACAGTATTTGACTAGCCAGGTAAGAAATACAATCATTTTCTCATACTCAGTAACTAATCTTTTATCAGACAGAATACATAGTAGGAAGGACTTTTACAAATCATCCATATCCTGATCAAATTCTCTTGTAGAACTAGTGTAAATCAGGATTAACTGCACTGCAGTCAATGGAGTTTCACCAATCGGTCGTGGTGAAAAGTTAAAAGAGAAGCAAGAGTAAAGGCTCCTAGCATTGTTCCAATTTTAAAAGACTAGCAGGGTACTTTTAATCAATGTATTTGTTAGCTCTAAAGCAAAAGATCTTAACTCATTTTAAAAGCGTATTTCTAATAATTTATTAGCAATTTGGAGCACATTTGCTTTTCACTTCAGTACAGCTCAATGTGGTTGGTTCCATAAGAAAAACAGCTTAATACTGTCATACAACAGAAAGATGAAAACACAAAAAATCAGTAAAAAAACTTCTGGAATTTGTTCTATAGTTGTGCTTCTTCCGTAGATTTTTCTCTGGGTTGTTTCTTTTGCATACAAGGTTGTATAAGTAAAAATACTATTCCCACCATGTATAGCAAGCCAGATATGTAAAAAGAAAAATCGTATTTCTGTGTGATGTCATAGATCCAACCTGCAAAATAAGGACAAAACATGTTTGTTACAAAGCTTGACGACAAGGTACATTGCATGGGAAAATATGAAAAATGCTGCACATTTCTCTCATGATGTTTCAGTCAAATCCATAGATGTTTTGTGGAAAAAAGAGGTGGTGATTGTCTTCTCCTCTAGATGCTACAAATGGAAAAGTATTAACAAAATCTTACGTTCATTCACTGAAATCCAAAACCAATGCAAAACCTATCTCCTCACTGAAGTATCATGGAAGTCTTAAAATGAGGCTCTAGCTATGTGCCATCCTAAAAAGCCAAGCAACCTTCTCCCTAAAACTGTTTTTCAAACAAGTTATCACAAGTCTGACTTTCAAAGAAACATTTTGGAATCTCAAAACAATTAGTTCTTCCGCCCTACTGTTGTCTTTGTAAAATGCCCGATACTGCAGGCTAGTTCAAATGCTGTGCCTTGTGCAAGCAAACACATTCCCAATAGCTTTTTCAAAGACTTGCATACCGATAAAAGACTTTTCAAGAGATACAATCTCAATACTGCAATGACTGTCATTCCAACCTCAATTCCTTTGCAAAAATACATGAAAGTTACTTCAGAAAGGTTTGGGAACCCAAAATAGCAAAATTCCCTCGTGTCACGCTGGTTGCACTGCAATGTAACCTCAACATCAGAAGCTTTTTTTACATCAACTAATTGCATCCTATTTGCTTCATTACTAATGACCAAATAGAAAGGCATGTTGAGCACAGACTGAGCTGTGCTGAAAGTACATATGGTAGAGTAAAACACTGCTGCTTTTCAAAGGGCACTGAATGAGCTTTCTTCCAAATCCTGTCGGCTCACTCAATGGTGGGGAGAGAAGGTGAGAGTATTCTTGCTTTTCTGGGTTCCTTGTGCTGCTAATAGCTTGCGTTCAGCCTAGTGCCATCCCTGGCTGACCACGGCCATTACTCACAGGGTTTCTGACTGCTTTCTTCTGATTTGCATCTCTGTGAGACAGCTGTAGTCTGGCTATAGTATTGACAATCACTACCTAGATCTCTTCTGTACATCCCTGCCTCTACCTATGAGAAAATTTATGAACGTTTGTTTAAACCTAAGTTACTTTAGGGATAACATACATACAC